TTTTCATTTCGCGCTGTGCCCCCGAATTATGCAGCTGATCTTGATGGAGGTGTCCCTTGCTAATGCTCTGCCACTCCCTCTCCGGGCCCCCCACTTTCCCAGTGCCCAGTGCCGTCTCCCAGTCTCCCGGGCTGCGGGGCCTCAGGAGCGCCCAGCCCTGGACCCCTCCCTTCAGTTCCCTTCATCAAACCCACGTTCTGAAGACGTGACGACGTGGGGAGTTCCCTTCGCTCTAGCCACACGCTGGAGAGGCTGGGTCGCCTGCTCAGGTCAGAGCGTCAGCGGCTGAGAAGACAGTCTTCCCACCTCCAGGCTGGACGAACTTGACCAGGGAACGATTCCGTCCACCGAGGACCGGCCCTCGAGCAGCAGAGCCTCAGAGCTTTGCTCTGCACAGACGTCCAGCTCCCTCCAGAGACAGACACTTTGGGACGAGGCAACTTTCCCGCGTCCCTCAAATTATACCATTACGGCGACTGCTGACGCACCGCTCTGTCTACCCATGAGCCACTCTCATCCACACCTCACACTGTTCTCAAAGTTGCGGTGTCCTTGCATTTCTTTTTAATTGTCAAGGCATCATCCAGGGGACATGTTTTTGCCGGCAGTTTTGTAACAATCGTATCCCCGAAGCCTGTTTACCTTCGTCTCTAACAGTCGAGCCTTTTGAGTTAGAAATTAGAAATCCTGGATTCCAAAGAGGATGACTTTGGGCAAGTTACTTGATATGTTGAATTCTTTGTTTGCTTATTAAAAAAAAAAAAGATGGCAAGGAATACCTCTTTTCCAACTCTTGGGTTCATTTTGAGGGTTACATGAGGCCTGTGCTTTGAAGACCATGGTGGAGAGACCGTGACTAAACACACTTCTGGGGTCAAGAGTGCTTTCTGGAATGTCTGAGGACAGACCCAGAACCGAAGGCAAGGACGGCCCTGAGACCAGAGCTGGACATGGCCCGAAGGACTCATGAGGACCGACAGCTGCCAGAGCTGAAAGGTAGACAGTCAGGTTTCCCTTCACCGGCCTGAGTCAAGGACGCAGTCGACAGCGGCCGTCACCTGCACTGGAATTTTAAAACGAAGCATGACCAGAAAAAGCTGAGGAACTGAAGCAAGAGGCAAGAGGGGTGGGGAGAGAAGTTGAATGGGGTCAAGGAAAGGGGGAAGGTTTCTGTTTTGCTTTTCATAATAACTAGAGGAACACACAACAAGGAAAGGAAAATCTATGTTGATCCCATGACGGAAGGAAGGCAAACGAAAGACCTTTCAAGGAAAGTTCTAAGGAGAGGATCCATTTCACAAGCAACAGAAGCAGCTGCTCAGAAAGAGTTTACTTAGAAGGATCCTGATTAATAAACCAGTGAGAAGGATTTCGGGACACGTATTGGCAGCAACTCAGATCCGGGGGCTGGGGAGTCCGCAGGCTTTGGAGGAGCCAACAGAGGAGCTGGATGTTTGCAGGGTCCTATCAGCAGTAAAAAGACGAGGCTCATGGGAAGAGCTCGGTGGGGAGGGAAGGCCAGGCCAAGGCTGGAGTCTCTGACCACTCGCGCTAGGAAGGAAGGCGCTGACGGAGCAGGCATTGTGATACGGTTTAAAAACGCATTTGCACCTCCAGCCACAGCCCAAGGACAATCCGGTGGACTTGACAGTGACTGTGACCTGGAAGTGGAAACCCAGGCGGAGGTCAGGCTACCGAAGCAGTGGGTGGTGGGAGGACGGAGGGCGAAGGGCCCAAGTTAAAGACCAACGAGAACAAAACGACCAGGAAGCCCCTTCCTCAGGGCGTTGCTCCAAGGACGGTCGAGCAGGTGCGGAGGCTGTCGGCTCGCGGTCAGTCTAGAGCCATGCAGGCATCTGGGTTTCGTGGAGTTCAGACTGGCCAGCAGGAAGGCAGGGGAGGGGATGTGAACTGCGGTCCTGGGGCACTTGGGGTCTGTGTAGGAGCCTCATTTACAGAAGCACAAAGCCGGAGAGAGAAGCCACTGCGGGAGCAGCTCCAGGCTGACTGTGTCCCTTCCCCTGACGTAGGGCCCTCTTCTGGGGAAGGGTGTCCAGGGTCTGAAGTGAAGCCACAGGCCCCGATTCCCGCTGGATGGACGGTACTGGAGGCAAGCAGGGGCCTTCAGGAGACCAAGGGAGCGATCGTACGAGAGGGGGGAGATCAGTGGAGCTGCCCTTCTCAGGCACAACAAGAAAACGGTTTCAGAAGCAGGTACAAGTTGGGGATGGAGGGGGAGGTGGGGAAAGTAGAGACACGGTAAGGAACACGGCTAAGTCCTGCACACGTGCAACCTCAAGACACAGTACCGCAGCCTGTGCGGGATGTATGACAGTTCCAGTTGACAGAGGCCACGTGCACGGACAGGAGCTGTGGGGAACGTGTCCAGTCTACAGAGGCCACGTGCGCGGACGGGAGCTGTAGGGAACGTGTCCAGTCTACAGAGGCCACGTGCACGGACAGGAGCTGTGGGAAACGTGTCCGGTCTACAGAGGCCACGTGCGCGGACGGGAGCTGTGGGGAATGTGTCCGGTCTACAGAGGCCACGTGCACGGATGGGAGCTGTGCGGAATGTGTCCGGTCTACAGAGGCCACGTGCACAGATGGGAGCTGTGCGGAATGTGTCCGGTCTACAGAGGCCACGTGCACGGACAGGAGCTGTGGGGAACGTGTCCAGTCTACAGAGGCCACGTGCACGGATGGGAGCTGTGGGGAATGTGTCCAGTCTACAGAGGCCACGTGCACAGATGGGAGTTGTGCAGAATGTGTCCAGTCTACAGAGGCTACAAGCACGCATGGTAGCTGTGGGGAATGTCACTGCATGGCTATCTTGTGCCTGGGGCTTTACAAGTTCTCTCTTAATCCTTCCAACAGTACAATGTAGATTCTATCATTACTTCCATTTTCCTGACGGGAAAACCAAGGCCACACTAGCAGGAGATGGTGGGGGCCAGGATGCAAACCCACGCAATCTGTTTCCCGAATCTTTACCACCACGGTCAACAGCCTCAATGAAGCCAGTCGGAATTAAGAGAAAAGAGAGAAGATAAGCTCACAGAGACCTGGGAGCTAATATTTAAAAGGAGACGAGGACTGACAGGGACGGGGAGGGAAAACACCGCCCTGAAAGGGGATTTGAAGGTTTAATTCTTACAGTAACGAAGAGGATAACAGCCCATGAACGTGTGTTGAAGGCTCACCACGCGCCAGGCTCCACTCTAAAAGCCTTATGTGTACTATCTCACTGAATTTCCAGAACAATTCTCTTGTCTCTTTTATTGAAATCTCAGACCCCAGCACATGGCAGGTGCTCAATAAATACTTGTCGAGTGAATCTTAAAAGTGCTCTCTCCTTTCAAGAAACTCCAGGTCTTAGGACTGGAGTCCAAGGGGCTCAGGCCCGAGGCCTCTTGTGTTATTACGTCACAGCATTGATCTCTGTCTGAAATCACCCTGTTTGTTTCTCAGCTTTTTAATTTTCTGTCTGTCTCTCCATGTCAGCTTGTAACCCTAGGAGAGCAGAGCCTCACTCACCCTGGTAATGCTGTACCTGCAGCCTCTGGAACCATGCCCTGGGCACAGGAGGTAATTAATAAATATTCTCTGCATGAATAAAGAAGAGAACATTTCAGGGCAGCTCTTCTTCTGCTGCAGCGCACTGAACTGTGGGGCAGAGGCCCGGCTGCCTATGGCCCAGTGCAGCATCTTTATCTCTGCCTGTTCACTAGGAGAACCTGTTCCTGTTCCCCGTCACTGACTCATTGTTCACGCACCCAGCTAGGCTCCCTTGTGCAGCGGGGGAGAAGAGAAGTTTCTTGCTCTGTTTTCAACACATAAACAGAGATCATCACAAAGGTGATCAAACCATCTCTCTATAAAAATGGCTCTTCTACCTCCCTCTCATTAGGATGGCTACTATTAAAAATCCAACAAACAGAATATAATAAGTGCTGGCGAGGATGTGTCGAAGTTGGAATGCTTGTGCACTGTTGGTGGGTCCGTAAATGGTGCAGCTACTGTGGAAAACAGGATGGCAGTTCCTCAAAAACAAAAATAGAATTACTATTGACCCAACAGTCTGAGTACATACTCAAAAGAATCTCAAACAACTATTTGTACACCCATGTTCACAGCAGCATTGTTCGCAATAGCCAAAAGGTGGGAGCAACACAAGTGTCCATCGTTGGCTGAACACATAAACAAAATGGGGTATATACATACACAGAACATTACTCAGCCTTAAAAAGGAAGGAAATTCTGATGCACGCTATAACATGGATGAATTTTGAGGATATTATGCTAAGTGAAATAAGTCAATAACAAATAGACAAATACTGTGTGATTCCACTTATATGAGCTACCCAGAGTAGTCAGACTCACAGACACAGAAAGCGAGTGGTGGGTGCCAGGGGCCGTGAGGAGCAAGGGACAGGACGTTGTTGTCTAATGGGGATAGAGTTTGCAGGATGAAAAGAGTTCTGGAGATGGTTGCACAACAGTGTGAATGTACTTAACATGACTGAGCTGTACTCTTAAACTAGTTAAAATGGTAAATTTTATGTGCATTTTTTCACAGTTAAAAAAACTAGACTGAAAAAAACAAAAAGATGACTCTTGGTTGTATGATACATGCCCCTCATTTTAAAGGATCAAGATCCTAAAGTGGACGGTTCGGTCAAAGCCAGTGGAGATGCAGAGCACACGCAAAGGAGCAGGGGTGAGGCCCTCCAAGGACGCACGTCCACCATAAACAGCCCGGGTTGGAGATGACGGGGGAGCGAGCAGGAGCGTTTGGTTTTGGACTCTCGACGGTCCGTGCTGCAATAATTTCTGTCTTGGCTGGCTTTTTAACGTAATGTCTATTCTTAAGCATTTACACAAATCTCTACAGAGATTAGGACCTCGGAGACTGTGATGTTTGGAACGGCAGGCGACCAGATCAGCTGTGCGGGACCGCGCTGCCCTGAGAGGCAGTCTAGCGCGGCTGCGCGGACACTCACCTGTCTATGCGAAGCTGGCAGACGATGTTGAGTGCGTCCACAGCGCCTTCCTCTTTCAGCTGTCGACAGCCAATGGATGTGGCGATGAAACAGCCCGTCCTTCCTATGCCGGCGCTGAAAAGGAAAGATGAGGAATGAAAAGAGGAGGAAAAACAGCAGGGACAAAATATCTTCTTTTAAAGGGCACTTAGAATCTGAAACGACAGCTGGAATCAACAGCAGTTGCCAGGAGCTGAGGATCACACCTCCGGCCCCGCGCTCCATGCTCACCCCACACCGTCTGCCATCACGGGCAGTAGGAGGCGTGGAGTGGAGCGCGATGGGTGGGGGAAACGCGAGGAAGGCACTGTGACGATTCTGCAAAGGACACCTCGGGCTGAATTTAGGTGAGGTGTGGGCACTAGACACGGGGGAAAGACTTAGGCATGTCACAGATGTGAATCTGGAGGATGGGCGTTGAACAGCGAGAAAAGCAAAAGGTCAAAGCAGTCTTCGCTGGGAGGGTGGGGCGACTGGTAGTGCCAGCGACGCCGGGGAGAGTTCTGGAACAGGGCTGGCTGGAGGGAGGGAGAGGCGACCTCGGTCTTGGCTACACTAATGCTGAAGATCCCCGAGAATAACTGAAGATTCAGTTCCATTCAGGAGACAGTGTGGCTGGACGCACGGATTTCCAAGTCACTTACACGCAGGTGGTGCTGTATGGAAACACTGTCTGTCTTAGACGGCTGATATCCACCTAACAAGACTTTCTCTCTCTCTCTCTTTCTCTGTCTCTCAGCAATTCCAGCCACTAATGGTCTTCATGTAAATTTCTCCCAAATCTACATCCAAGTGCCCTAAATTTCTCCTAAGCTCTGGGTTGGCATTCCATCCCTTAGCTGGAACTCCGGATGTTACTATTTTGTACCTGTTTCCGTTCAATGTGTCTAAGCTCAATGTATCTAAAACAGAATTAACTACCTTTTCCCTCAATGGCGTTACCAGTCAGCCACAAGTTTTCCAGCCTAGAAATCTTGGAGCTGTCTTCACATCTCCCCTCTCTCACCTCCCACATTCAATCTGTCACCAATTCTTCCATTTTCCACCTCCACTCAGCTTTTGGGATCCAGGCTCGCCCTCCACAGACTGTGCTCACGTTTTCGACATCTCCTTACTTCATGACTAGCAAACACCTTATGATGGTTCCCTAGCCTCAAGTCTCTCCCTGGACGAATTCGCGATGCACACAGCTGCCAGGTTCATCTTTCTGAAACAGCGGGCTGACCGTATTGCTCTCCACTCGCAGGCTGTAGAGGCTGCCACCAACTACGGCACCGTGTCTAAGCCCCTGCCACCGTGGTCCCTACCTGCCGCCTGTGGCTGTGACTAACTTCTTACCATACTCCCCGTACCTTTCTGCCAATTTTTAATTTACATGAATCATTGCCAAAAACGCCTTTTATTTTCCAATTTTCCTTTGCGTGTTGGCAATATTTCTTCAGTCAGAAATGCCTTCCCTTTTAAAACCACAAACAAAGGTCACTTTTTAAGATCCTGTTCAGCATTATTCCAACTTTTAGAGGCTTTCTTCGGTCCTCATTGTTTAAGTTAATCGTTCCCCTCTTGGCACTCAAATAGCACCTGTTTCTCATATTTGGTGCTTATTTCCTACTGAATGTGAGTGCAGAGGAATTCAGAGGTGGAATGAAGTGTCTATAAAGGCTTGTTTCATTGAAGAGAGACGGTTTGAGCTGCACCCTGCGAATGGCAGGCATTTCGCTTCTCATGACTAAGCGAGAATATTCCACGATGAGAAGACAGACAGCTGCTGAACAGGCCGCGTGACGTGCGACACCGAGAAGACGAGCTTGGCTTGAAAGGAAAGTTCTTCTACAGAAACAGTGGGAAACGGGACTGGGAAGGTAGGCTGGGGTCTGTAGAGGATCTTGCATGGAAAGCTGAGAGGTCTGAGCTGCATTCTCTACAACAGCGGGACTCTTTTTTTTTTTTTCTTCTGAGAATTTGATGAGAACTATGAACTTTCACTCCCCAGAAAAATTCACATAACTTTATGTACTCAGGTTTGTTCAAGTAATTCAAAGGGGTTCACCGACCCCTGAGTTCATCTATAGACCCCAGGTCAAGAACTTTTCCTCTAGGCAATGGGAGGCCACCGAGAAGCTCTGAGCAGGGGCTCCTGTGATGAGAGAGGGTTTTAGGGACGTGCACAGAGCGGGCCACAGAGGGGTGGGGGCGGGGCGGGGGGAAGTGGGGCGTGTTTGTGCAATTAGCCGACTACTTCTAAAATACACGCTGAGGTCACGAGGGCCCGAACTTGGGTGGTTGGCAGGAAGGACGATTACGGGAGATGCTTTGAAGGCAAAGCCAATCTGGTGACTGATTAGATACGGCGGCTGGAGCTGAGGGGAAGGCCAAAGATAACTGTCGACATTCGCTGTCGAGCGCCTGGAAAAAAGATGGTCTCGTTCTTAGAAACCGCAATCAGAAGGGGAGCAGGATTTATAGGGGAAGCGGCTACTTCATTTTCAATATCTTGAGTGTTTTATGATTTGGGGTGGGGACAGGTCCAGCCCTAAAGCATGGCCAATTAGGCCGTTTTTCCTTGCCCCCAGGCTAAGTTTAGAATGAGGCCTAATGCCAGAAACCAGATAATGATGCCTTTGAATAAATAGACATACAGTAAACTTTATTCTCAATTAAACCACAAAGGTTCAAAAATGAAGGAGGTCAAAATTATAATCTAAAATAATGTATTTTATTTATTAAAGATATCATCATAAGCCATCTTATAAAACTTATGAGGTTAAACAAACCAAGACAAATTACTTTGAGATAGTATGGAGAATAAATGACTGGTTATGTAAATAACTTCAAAAATATTTGCTCGAGTTTGGGCATCCTAAAAGGAAGACAAGAGGGATGAGATAGCCATTACAAGAGGAGAGCTTCAAGCTAGACAGTAGGAAAGGGTACCACCATGGACATCTGTTTCTTTGTCAGCCTCGCCCCCAGTACTCCATGTTCTGCTAACAGCACTCGGTTTTCCTTTTGTCGAACTGCCACTTGCCCATTTCCCATTTCGTAAATTTGCTTCCATCTGTTTTTCACGAAATAACTTTTAAAATAGTTGACTGGTTGTCACCAAACTTGGCATAATAAATATTATCAAGATACAATTCAAGTATAGTTCAGGTGCCATCTTCAGACAACAAAAAAGTCATTGATAATTTTTAAAGAATCTGTCTTTCCTAGTGTATATGAGACGGATGAGACTAAATGAATCAATATAAGTTTCCAGGCAGGGGACTGAGTAAGGTTTCCTGTTCTCAAGGTAACTGTTTGCCGAAAATGCCCTAATAATGTCACTTTATTTCTGTGTCATCTTGATCAAGACACAAATATTGGGAAATTAATTAACTTCCATAAATATTTAATTTACCAACAAAGTCACAAGCAGGAAGCAAAACCCAGCTTCCAGCAGCTCCACGCCTTTACAAAGGATAGACAGCCGCTCCGGCAGAAAGGACAGCCCGTGCCTTACCTGCAGTGGACAACCACAGGCCCTCGGCCCGCGGAAGCAACTCTGTCATCTTCCACATCCAGCATGAGCTGCAGAAGGGGCTGGGCACTGTCTGGCGTCTTGTGATCGGGCCACGAAGTATACCAGTAATGCTTCACGTGCTGGGTGTGACTTCCTTGCTGAAAACAACAGCAGCCAGCAAATGCCTCATTTACTTGTGAAACTAAAAGCCATCCAAACCACAACACTGAATGCTTTCTATCACTCCCATCCTGATGGCAGCTTATTTCTAGGTGGAAAAAAATCTAGCAAAGTTTTTGCCTGGAGAAAACTTTACTATAAATATCCTGATGTCAAAGTTTGACAGTCTTGCCTCTATTAAATGAGAATGTATATTTAACATAGAAAGTGTGTATGTAACATATGCTAAGTTACATTTCTAAGTTATAAACAAAATTGTGGATGAAAATGTAGTCATGAAAGACTTGGGATATAGTATGTTTCCTGCTCTTTATAAACATTTTAACCAATATAAGAACACAATTTTATATTCCCTTATGCTAATGCTCCTACACTCATCCTCAATTCCAGTTTTTTTCCTGAGGAAGATTCACCCTGAGCTAGCATCTGTGCCAATCTTCTTCTATTTTTTGTATGCAGGTCACCACCACAGCATGGCTGCCAAGAGGTGTAGGTCAGTGCCTGGGGACCGAAGCCGGGCCACTGAAGTGGAGCGCAGCAAATTTAATCACCACGCCACCAGGGCCAGCCCCCCAATTCCAGTTTTAACAGCAGGGAGAAGTCCCATAGTCAAGGAGCTTCAAGTGGTCCCTAGGTTGAAACTGCTTCGGGCGGGGTCCACGCGCATCAACTCAACCCCGTGCCCGGCTGGGGGCCTGGCCTGGACCAGGCTCTGGAGAACAGGAGTCGACAATCAGGTTTTGGTCAGTGCGTCCTTCCCCGAACTTCCTGCTGAAACCCTCAGTGCTGCCCTGTTCCTGCCCTTTCTCGGTGGCGATCCCGCCCCAGCAGTGAGGCCCTCAACTGGCCTGGAGCCTGTGGGACGACTGCTCTCTGGGAGCAAACACAATCCCATGGCAACGATCCTCCGCGTCTGCTGCCCGAGACTTAAATAAGACAAGTTTTCTGTGACAGCATCCAGTCTGGGGAAGTCCCTATAAATGACTGTAACTCGAGTTTGGGAGGCTCTCATCCACACCTCGGGCTCGTCTTCCCTCCCACGGCCACCCACGGGGCAGACTCTCTCCTTCAGTTTCCAGGCTTCACTTAAAGCTGCTGAGACCGAAGTGACATTAAAAGGAAAAAATCATCACGGTAAAGTCTCCAGCATGAGCCTTTAGTTAAAGGCGTTTGGAAGGTTAAATCAGAGCTGTTTTATTTATGCAAACTAGACCATAACCTCCTTCTTAGTGAATTTCCTTAATGCCTACTTACATTAATTTAATTATCCCACACACTGACTGTAGCTGACAGCAAAGAAACCCACGAGGGAGTGGTTACAGTTGCTCTTTGATCTCAGCAATCTCTAACTTGTTTACGTTGACTCTGTAGCACTGACTGAGATAAATATTTCAAGGTGGAAACGTCCTCCTCGACATCAGCCCCTTTGCAGCAGCTATAGCGACATGCTCTCACCTTTAAGACAAGGTTGCGAACGGTGTAGTTGTCACATTCGTTTACGCTGATGACCAGAACCTCGACTTTCCCATAGATGCCCCTCTTTTCCGGCCAGTAGAGCACACACTTCTGGAGGAGGGTTGAGAAGGATAAGGTGAATACTGACGGTTTTCGTTGGTCTTGGAGTACTTTTCACCCAAGCATCGCAGAAGTTTTTATTTAATTAATTTTAAAAAATCAACTGTCAAGTTTACAATGTTGTAGATGTACGCACACCGTTGAAACACTGTCCATTCTAAACAGGTGGTTTTTATGGGCTGTAACTTATATCTCAATCACGTTTTTTAATAAGGTATCAGTGTTGCCTATGCATGTCAAACACCATTGCTACTAAGCTCATAAAAATAGGATTAAAGCAAAATTTCCCAAACCTCACAGAGAAATTAAGAACTACTTAAAAAATTAATTAAAAAATGAAGAATTAAGAAATTAAGATTCAAATAGTAGAGTTTATCCTGTGATGACTAGAAACAAAGGGAAGTTCTCCCATAGTGACAGGGGCAAGCCACTTTGTCCTGCCTCGTCAAATGGAAGCGCCTAAGAAGAGCATCTGTGACATGCCAGGTGCCACTGCAGAAGTTCCCCTGTGTGCGAGGCTGACGCAGTGACCGTCAATACACCTGCGGGATTACATTTCCCAGGACCAGTGGTCTGTTCACCTGCGGGGTCCATTGAAATAAATGTATAACAAAATTATCTAAAAAATACTTTCATAATGGATCCTCTTTGAAGGGTTTAATGGGCAAAAATAGTTATATTGCAAGTCAGGCAATATAATACGATAGTTAAGGTGCAAGCTTTGCAGTCAGAGAGCCTGGGTCCAAATTTTCGTTCCACCATTTATTAGCTGTGAGTCCATAAACAAGATGCTTAATCTCTCTGGCCTCAGTTTCCTCCAGATTTCATACACGGAAAGCTCTTAGGACAAAGTCAGCACTCACTCAAACGTGTTATTATTATTGTTGTCGTTATATTTTACATCTACTGGGTGATGGAATGCATTTTTGATCTAACGTGATTAGATCATTACTTAATTATGCATTAAATATTATTATTATATCCAACCTACATTACTAAAGGAAAACTACAAAATGAGATTCAAGTACACACATAAACCCATATTATTCACTATTTTGCCTTTTAAACAATTGCAAAAGAACTTTTTTTACACCACATATTTTAATGATTAAGAATGTAAAGTGTGAAATTTGATGCTTTATTTTGACTGCCCAGGAAAGCATGTAATTTTAGAAATATTAAAATATAAAATATGCTTAAATAAAACTTGCTATTTTCTTCCAAGCACACAGGCACATATATAGAGAAATTCCTTCCCTTGTTGCCTTCATCCAGGACATTTTAGGAATCAGGACACTTGTGTCTTCACATCTAAGTCAAAGGCAGATGACCCCCCTTAAAAAATAAGCACTTACGGATTCAAGACAGCAGCACGAGAACCACAGACCCACAGCACTGAAGGAAGGACATGCAGGGCGTCAGAAACACACCTTGGGCCTCCACCACGCCAGTGAACAGCTGTCTACACGCCAGAAACGGCACTTGCCTGCTGGACTCACTATTGCTTCCACCCATTACAACAAAAACACACTCACATCCTCCAGTTGTGGTCCTTTTCCCAGCAAAGCAAATCCTTTCACCTCCATTTACACAACTCCCCACACCCCAGACTGTCAGGCAATCAGGCTACAGGCTGAGTCTGGCTCACATAACGCAAACATTAAGAAAAGAAACCTTTGAAAAACAGAGCAATTTATTTCCCTCCTCATTCGTGAGCTGTCAAAGGTTTAAAATTTCCCCAGTTTGTTAGAGATAATCATACTAACCAATTTGCCTCGTTTCTTTCAACAGAGCATTAATTATTTCGCTGCAAGACCCGAGCTACCGTGTATCTGAAAACCCATGCCTCCCAGATGAATCCAAGAAGAGTGACAAGGCACCTCGAGTCAGGCAGTGAGCAGAGAAAGCATCGTTCAGCGGTCCAGCGGTCCGGCGTATGCACCCCGCTGACCACGGTCAGACCTGAGCTGCAGGCCCCTATTTGGGAAGGTGGCTCTCGAAACTGGTAGGAAAAGCCAGGAGGCAGGAGCTCGCAGCCTGCACCCTGACTCTCCCAAGCCTCAACAGCCTGTGCACCTACTTGATAAAGGGAAGTGCTGCTCACTTCTCTCCCGAGCTTGCCGGGGACCTTTTGAATGTTTTTCTTGACTCTTTACCAAAAATGCAATTGGCAGCCAGTTCCCAGTAGACAATGCCGTGTGACTCGTTCATTCAAACAACCCTTAATTAGCATGCCATCTCCTTTCTGAGATACAATAGCTTATTTTTACACGCTGAATACGTTTCTCTCCCTTTTAGGAGAGCGTAGAAAAAGAGACCAGATAAGTGTGGTGCTTTTGAACACGAAGGGGGAGAGCAGCAAATGGAATCATTCCTGGGAGCACAAGTTCACCTTCAAGTATTTTTGAGAACTGCTTTTTAGGTTTCTTCACTGCGGTGCTAACAATGACATGAAAGAGGCAGAGAATGCAAGGAAGGACAACGCTCTCCTGCAGATAATGCTGTGGAACCACACTAATTGTAGGTGATTCAAAAGAGCATGCTATCTAGCTGAACATAGCCCCAAATTGTCACTCTTCTTCTGCTAACCTTTCAGTAAAATTATCTATAAGTTCTAAGAGTTCATAATTTGGAGGAGAAAGAGCATTTCAGAGGGTCACGTGTGTCTTGTGCAAACAAACCGTTAGCCGACCCTGACTGTAAAGATTCTGGGCATCAACCAGTTCTGCACAATCTGTGCTCCACAGCAGACGTCGAAGGCAGTGCACAGCAAAGCCAACTCCTATTTTTATGACCTTCCCTCTGGCCTCCACCACATTAGGGCTGTTTGTGTGTAAAGAAGCTAGTAGTTTAGTGGCCTGGAAAAAAATCTATTTTTAAGTTACTCTCTTTTAAAATTCTATGCATTTAAAATCAAAGAGATCTTGCTTTTCAAGCTAAAGGCATGTGTCGTCACATGAGAAGTGGCTCTAAACACATAGAGAAGAGGGTCAGCTCTGTCTGGGCTCCATTAGCATCTGAAGAGGACAGAATGGGGCAGACCGCCCGCAGCTATTATTATTGCTGTCACTGTCACTCCTGGTATTCCAGCTGAATATTACTAACATTGGTGCAGCAATTTAGTATCAACGCGTCTTCACCAACATTTCGTTAATCCCTTTCACGGTCATCTGAGTCACGTAGAGCAGGGGGTAAGTATAATAATAATAATAATAATTATCAATCATTTTACAGCAGAAGAAACTGAAGCCCAGGGCTTTTGGTAGGATCTCTGGGAAAATTCCCTTGGGGGCTAGGACCCTCTGAGCAAATATCACTTTATTAATTCAACTTTCCGTCGTTGATTTCTGCACCGTCTCTTACCCAACAAGCTCCCTTCCCTCTGTGAAGATGCTAGTGCTCCTGGACGCTGAGCGCCCTCGGGCCCCATGCACTGATCCCAGGAGTCGTGTTGTCTCTGCTGGGTCGTGTGCTCACTAACCAGTATTTATACTCAAACCTCTTCATGGCAGTTGTACAAGTTGTTAAAGTCTGATAATTTAATTAAGCTTTACATGAATCAATAGACCAATAGGGTGAGAAGAAAAAAAGTTGTTCTGAGATAATTGCATAAGTTGAATAAGTTTTCCAGTGGGAAAAAAGTGAATTGGGAAAGAAAACTGTGGTCAAATCAGGTTCAGTGAGGCCGACGTACAAGTTAGAGCAGAGTCTGACGACCTAGACGGACTCTGTGCTCATGTTGTCACAAACTTTCCGTATTCTCTCTCGTCTCAAAGAAACTGAAATGGGAAATTTTAATGATACATAAAGTGCAGGATTTACATGAGCTCTGTGATCTGGAGCTCCAGCTTCAGACCAATCCTCAGAAGAAAAAAGACAGTCCTGTAATAAAATAATGAACACGTTTTTTGTTTTTCTGAGGAAGACTGGCCCTGAGCTAACATTCGTGCCCATCTTCCTCTACTTTATATGTGGGACGCCTACCACAGCATGGCTTGATGAGCGGTGTGCAGGTCTGCCCCCGGGATCTGAACTCATGAACCCTGGGGCTGTCAAAGTGGAGTGTGCGAACTTAACTGCTGCACCACTGTGCAGACCCCCATGAACAAATTTTAATATGAACAAATGTACATGTTTTAGGATAAAATGAAACCTTGTTTTTGTGTGTGTGTGTGATTCCCTACTCTGACTTATTTGAGTAACTGTGTCAACTTTCTGATTAACCCTGTCAACTTCTAACCACAGGTAGGAGAGGCTCAGCGGTTGAGCACAGCCCAGCAGATTCACAATTCAGGTGCCAGCGACATTGGGAATAGAAGCGTGTTTGAAAGCAGGCTGCGTGTTTTGCTTGGGGGCTGTCAGCCTCTGCAGTTCTGGCTGCCCTCACTCGCTCCGGCAGCATCGCCGTCAAAGCCCAGGTCGTGGAGGAAATGGGACTAGGCTGCTGGGCGGTGCTGGGCCCACGGCCCCTCTGGACGTTATAGTGCCCCATTCTGGTCCTCCAGGAAGTCAGGAGTCTCCGCTGTCCACATGCGAGGCTGGCCTCCAATGTTGCCCTCCCTGAGCTGGTCTGGACGGGTGCTCTGGCTATGGGACTTGGTTTGCTCTTCTCCTCCCATTCTTGGTACCAGGCATGAGTCCCTTGTCCACCCCACACCGCTACTCCTTGCCTTTCTCAAATCCCAACCCTGTCCCCTGCCACCAAGCCTACTCCTGGTAGACAGACTGCGTGATGTCACTCTAGTTCAAGAACACCTTTACGGCTCCCTACTGCCTGTACAATGAAGCCCAGAGGGGTTTTTTTTTTTTTTAGCATAGTCCTACATTCTCCCACACAGTTTAACCCTCCAGCCTCATCTCCCTTCTCTCCCATGGTGCTGCCTGTGCTCAAGCCACATCAAACCCTTGCCCTCATCGTGCCGTGTGGCTCGTGTCTGAGTTCCAGCTGTCACATGGCCTGGATTATGTTCCCTTGTGTACCTGCTCACTCT